TATTCATAATAAATTGGGGCGAGATTCGTACTGTAAACTGGTTAGATAAGAATCTTCCAACCCAACTCGTGAAGCTACTGACGAGTCACTGTCGATGTGTGTGGGGCTTGGCGTTGTCCTGATGAAACACAATTCGCCTCCTCTTGGCCAAAACTGGGCGCTTCTGGACAATTGCAGCTTTTAGATGGTCTAATTGCTGACAGTACAGGTTCAAATTAAATGTTTGGTTGTACGGTAGCAGATCATAGTAAATGATTTCTTGCCAATTCCACCAAATACACAAAACAAACCTTCCCAGCTGTCAATTCTGGTTTGTATACCGATTGTGCCGGGTGTCGCTCTTCCACCACGATCCTTTTCATTTGGCGTTACTGCCCCATTCACTTCAAAAATGTTTCAGTTTTGGAACGACTCAGCATCGACTCACGAATGCAAAATCAGTTCATAAAGTTTTTTCTAGTTAATTCATATGACACACATACATGGAGCTTCTTTGTGTATCCAGACCCTTTTCAAACTTGTTTCCAACTGTCTTTTGTGCAATATTTAGTTACTAGGCAATCAAAGCTGTGCTCGCATAATGGCCAAACTCGACGATTTCCATTGTTTTGTAGACATTTTCGATAATATCGCGTATTTTCTCCTTGCTGGCGTCCATGTTTATTATGCACTTAAACAATATTGAATACGAAAAATCATATTTCTAACACCAACGGCGTAAGCACGAGGTACATATCTATCATTCATCATAAAAATAATGGATTGCGTTTTAGACTGTAGACTGTAGACCTCTCGATTGAAAAGATATCAAGACGAAAAACCGCATATTGGAGGAGGAGCATGGCGGAAAACCACACTAGCGGTTACAAAGCACCAAATATATATAATACAACAACATCGATAAGTTATTGAAAGAACCGAGCATTAAGTTTGAATGTTATAGGTCGTCATTAGACAGAAAAAATATATGGCGGAAAAAGTTTAATTTCCTATTTAGTGGAAAACCATAACTCTTCTTTCTTTAACTGTTATTTCTTCACGTTCTTTATTGGATTTGTGAGGATATTCGTAAAGTACTGCATAAAATTATTTAATTCTGTCAAATTTATGTGGTCTTTAACATTTTAATGCACCTCGGGCAATAGTCTCCTTTAGCATCCGCAAAAGAAGCATTTGCTCAGCAACTTTTTTCAAAGTGAACAAAATAATTGCGATAAACGAAATTTTCAGAATAATAATGTACTATATTTAAGCTGCAAAAAAAGATTTTTCTGTGAGTTTTCTGAAGCGACTGCCGTCTGAACTCGTGGAACGGTGCCATTGATGGTTAATTTTTTTTTTAATTTATAAAATGTAGAAAATACAGAAGAAGTTAGAAAATTCCATTTATTTTCGAAGTTTGAAAAAAAAAATTACTTTTTTTGAAAAAAGATTCACTTGAAGTAGCAAAATAAATAGTTTCAATTACACTATTGTATAATTCTTTTAGTTGCTCGCTTAACCTGCTCGATGCGCGGCCGCCAAAACTACTCTAGATACTCAAATATGTGGAATTGGCAGCGGAAATTTTGAAGATATATTCTTCTATGGTTTTAGAAAAGATTTGAGAAAAAATGCGTTTTTTGAAGCCTCCAATGTAGGCTACTACCTTTATTTACAACAAATCATTTTGAGTTTAGATTGGTTTGAACGTTGTTTTAGATTAAAAAAAAATAAGAACTATTTGAAGTTGATTGTGTGTAAAATGTTTATAGTTAAATCTTAATAAAAATTAATTTTTATTACACAGCTACATCAGAAAAAAATGGGTGGAAAAATTATTTCAATTATTTTTTTTATTTATTATATCCATATAGGTGGTCTGTGTATTCAAATTAAAAACAAAATTGAATTAAATATTTGTACTACACGATTTTATATGAAAAACAAAATTAAATATTTAATTCAAATTTTTAAATAAATATTTATATACATATATAATATAATATTTATTACGTTAAATATAAAACAATTTCTAACTAGACTACTGAATAGACAATTGAATTATGAACTTTAAGCTAAGAGGTACCTCGGTTTCTCAAGAAGGCACTGCTTAATTTTCTAAAATTTTTCTCGATTAAAAATCGTGTGAAAATGCAGAAATAAATAAAATCAGCTGAAGTTCTTATGCAAGTACAAGTACAAAAGTTACGTATACGCAGTGTGGATAAAAAAATATTATGACTTTTATATTGATTTTACTTAAATGTTTATCTCTTAAATTAAAAAATAAGCAATAAAAGAAGCAGATAGAGTAAAATTATGCCATACACGGAAGATCATGAATTTAACTTTGAATTAATATATAAAAGAATATGTCACTTTTGATAAAACCATCAATTCATATCAATAAATCACCGTTTTCTTTGTACATACTCCTCTAATGTGACTTAAATAAACATAGTATTGGTGTATAGCGTACATGAAAATATACATACATATATATTTTTTCCAAGCCATGTATATTGACCAACGATTATTATGTAAGCCAACCAAATAAGCATTGACTTGGCATGAATCGCTAACTATTTATAACTATGAATCAAGAGGTTGTATCAAATATCAACTGCCACACGTACAAGCACTTGATTTAGTTGCAAATATGTGTATGTATATGTGTGCAAATTGAATACGCATACACACAAACTTATAATTTTATTTATATACATATCAAACACCTGCATTATTTGAAAGCTGACATAGATATTACATATATGTATATCCATGGTTAGGTAAAAATGTATATAAATGCGTATATACATATATATGTTAATGTAACTCTATACGAATTAAGGTATATTTATCCGCCGATGAATACATATTCATATATCTTTTATATTTAGTCGATTCCAGCTGTGTAAACCCATTTTGTGGCACAAATATATATGTATGAAGGTATACGTGTATGCAAATGTCAGTGCTTGTTCTTGGGCCAATCTTTATGGGCGGAAAATTGATTTTATTAACAGTTATGATTGTTGTGTGTTGCTTAGTAAATGAATGAGCACACTTCAACGCAAACATACATACACACCGTGACATACATTTACAATGAAACAGATATGCCAACGGGTATAATGTTGAAAAGTAGCGAGTAATGAAGTTTACGGAGCAAGGTATGACAAAAGTAAGACAGCAGGCAGCAACAAGCAACAACAAGAGTCACATAAAAATATATGTATGAGAATCGACGATTTGCAAGAATATTTCCATTTAAAAAGCGTTGAGGGAGTGAGCGTTGCGTGGCAACAATTATAATTGATGAATGGAAAATAACAGTATTAGTTTTTAGAACATATAACATTGTTGTTATTCCAATTTTTTTTTTTTTTGGACTTACACTCAAACATCAATATATTTTGCAGTAGTTTCTTTTTTCATTCTTACATATTCGCAGTAAAACCTTTCAAATGCTAACGCTTCCGCAAAATCCGTTTTTTTTTAAATATTGCAATGTACGCTCACTCTGACATTTTTCCATCATTTCGACTTATCCAACTTACTCTTCTTACTCTTTTTCTTCTTCTTCCTTCTCGTCTTTCGGCCAACACTTTGTGGGGTGAGTAAGTGTAAGTGTCTCTTTTTGTTATCTCTTAAATTGCTATTGTTGTTATTGCTGTTTGATTGTATATGCGTATGTGTGCGCACATTGCCTTTAATATTACTCTTAATATTGTTTTTGTTGTTGCTGTTTGTACATTGCAATTCGTTTGAAAATTCAATAACTGACCTAGTTAAGGCTGAAATACATAGATTTTGTTGTGCCGAAAACCGAAAAACCGAAAAACCGACAAACGATTCTCACACTGGACGCAGACTAACGGATTCGGATTCGTAATTACACGAGCAATGCAAAGGAACACTAAAATGCAGCAAAGCGAAAACGTACGAGTGAGCCAGTTTTGAAACAACAAAAAAAAAAAAGAAAATAGCATAAAATGGAACATCGAAGGAACCTACCCCAGCTCTCTGTGCACCAACACCAACACCAACACTTTTCAAGTGAAAATTCAAAACTCTTTAGAAAAGATTTTCAAAATTTTTTTCATATCTCAAAATACTGCTGAACTTTTTTTCCCTATGCAACATAAAACAACTCACTTGTGTTGACTACTTTTTCAAATTCACAGCACGGGTCTTATGTAATAGCTACCAATTAGTGTGGAATGGTACTCAAGCGCTGTGTGTTCATCTCTGTTTGAGTGTGCGTGTGTGTATGTGTGTGTTGCGGGAAGGTAGGTAGGTGTGCGCTCTAGTGTGGCATGATATGAGGGCCCGCCAACCATAGAGATATCGATTGAATCGTTGTTGGCTTATGACAACGAAAATGACAAACAAAAATCGGTATTGAGAAGTATTCTCAAAGAGTAAGAGCAAAAAATTTGCAAAAATTACATAAAAAAAATCCACCAAATGTTGCACAGTTATAATGTATGCAGTTTTTTTTTAAATTATTTTTCTATTTATAATGATTTTCGAATCGAATGAAATATGACTTTTGGCAGAATATTTTCTACACCGTTTCGTGCTTATACAATATGCATAGATATATAATCTGTATATATGTGCATATAGTATATAACTATAAATGCATTTTTCATTCGCACAATTTTTTCATGTCTCTCGTATAAACATAAATATAATACATTTTACAACAAATTATGCACTTTTGTATATTTTGCTTGCTTGCCACGCCACCGCCACCTCCACCAACTCCGTTGCACTCTATAACTGATGATTGGAGCACAGAAAAATGTGTGAAAATTGTGCAAATTTCATAATCGATACTCATAGCATAAGCGCTACATATTTTGCTCCTTTATTTAACAATTTTTTTTTGTTGTTTTTTTTTTGCAATAATTAATCATTTTTCCAATTACTACTATATTTTTTCCAGCACACACACAGTTTTTTCTGATATTTTTCCAATATGTATATATTTTTTTTATATAGATATTTACGTAAGAGACAATCTCCTATTTAGCTCGCACCCGGACAACGAAGTAAAAACGTTTATTCGATATGACAATAGCACGGCTAAATCATCCAGCAAGGACGTTACGTGATTGGATACGAAAACACTGGCGGGCAGATAGAAAGCGAAAAAGCGTACGAACTGTATAGGCAGATAGGCCAAGCAGCGGCAGCGGCAATCGATATTTTTACACAGGGTTGTATGGAAATGGCTTTGGTCGTAATAGTAGAAATGGGCGTAAGTTACTTATTTAGTTATGCATCTTCCGGGTCTACATGGCGTATGCGGTACAAATGAAATTACGAAGTAATGCCTAAAAGCATACTACGATTTTATTTAAAGTTAATTTGGTTTGATTTCTTGATTCACTTTACAAAGAGAAAAATTATTATATAAAATTATGAAGAAAATATACGCATTAATGCGAAATAAGCGGACTTAATGTCGGAAAATATTGGTTAATAAATTAAGTATGACAAAATGTTTAGTAATTTTGATGGATTCAGTTCCAATTAAAGAAAATTTGTATACCAAACGAGATATATTTTTTGCTTTCATCAAAATTAAAAAACTTTACATTTGGAGTATTACATACATATATGTATGATACTGTGGTATAATATTTAAATTCTTTCGAGTCAACTTATAATTTTAGCCTAATTTTCGAAGATTTCCATACTTGAATTCAGAAATTTGGAGCCTAATACCTCAAAATAAAGCAATAAATAGAATAAAATTTTTTAAATTTTCTACTTGTAATAATTATGTATGATGCTTTGGTATACGGTTTGAATTCTTTCGAGCCAACTGATAATTTTAGCCTGATTTTCGAAAATTTCCTTTTTTAAATTCCGAAATCTGAAGCCAAATTCCTCAAAATCAAGCAAAAAATAGAATAAAATTTTTAAATCTACTTTTGATAATAATTGATTGATTGATTTGTATTGTATATTATTATTAAAATATTATTTTCATTTAATTTCTGTCTTAATTTTAAGTAAATAATTTCTACAGTAGAAAATAAAAAGACAACTCTCGCGAATGTTTTTGTTAATAAAACCGATCAAAAAATCTCGAACTACAATTTTTGACGTTTAATAAACTATTATTTGATTTAAAAATATTTTTTTTTTGCATTTTCTACACCGCTACCCTGTTAGCCGACCTATTGGCCCGTGATTCACAGTGAGATTGAAATAAGGCGGAAGTGAGCACAAACGAAGAGTAAATTTATAAATGGTAAAGAGCGCATACATGCGCCATCGTCGTCGTCTCAGACACATGCATAAGTACATATGTATATATACTTGTAGCCAAGGAGGCATTTCGTGGCTACAATTATGACGAGAATACCATGTAATATAAGCAACGCTGTGACACTTCTTGATACTGCAATTTTCTTTTTCTCACCAAATACCGCGCGCATACATGCATGCATATATCTCTGTTTATAACAAATTTTTAATAATTTTTGTTATGCTTTAAATTCATTATTCTGTGATGATTTCTAATTTATTTTAAACATTTTAGCTTTGGTGTGTGTTTGAACAACTTTGAAATTAACGGTACTATGCTGGCAGTTAGTTTATTCTAAATAACCTATTTTCAACATTTAAGCGTTGCCGGATCTATAAATAAATAAAATTTCGTTGAATCATAATTCCTTCTTTAACCGAATGATGTCATTCTTCTTCTTCTTCTCTTCTTTACTGGCATAGACACCACTTAGGCCATTCCTTTCTCTGAGATTGGCGCCAATTGGAGATGTTGGTATTTCCAACAGAGTAGAGGTCTTCCTTTTCCTCTGCTTCTGCTCTAGGTACTTTCAAAGCTGGAGTATTCTTATCCATCTGGACCACATGACCTAGCCGGCGCAGCAGCTGTCCCTAAATTCGCTGAACTATTTTAATCTCATCGTATATCTTGTGCCGCTTCTCGTTCTATCGACTGCGGTATTCGCCGTTACCAACTCGTTCCTTAAGCGAGGACCAAAAATCGCAATTCGCAAAACCTTTATTTCGAAAACTTCTAACGCCGACTCATTTGATGTTGTCATCGTGCAAGCTCCGCACCATGTAGAAGGATGGGAATGATGAGTGACTTGTAGAGACTGGTCTTAATTCAAGGACTGTCACTCCCGCAACATTCTCCAAAAAGTAATTTGGGGGATATTTTTGCGGATACAATAACAACAACAACAACGATTGCCTACCAACCGGAATTTTGACAGATAATTTCAAGCAATTTGATAGCAAGTTTGCTGCATTAAGGATATTAAACATTTGGAAATACTACAAGAACTTTCTGAAAAGGCAGGAAAAGGAAAAGGGGAACAGTTTTCAGTTTTTAATTACTTCATAATTATTTAATTTTAAAATATCCACCAGCAAGCTTTCGCACAAATGAAATATTTGCTTTCAGAATGAATATGTGACAACAGTTTATTGCAGACAATAGATGTCAGGCAATAAGCACTGTTATATATTGTTGGTCATAGGCAATTGCCGGTCGCCACGGGCAAATTTATGTTACGTTATGTATGTCAGCATATCGATATTTATAGTATGTTCTGGAGTGCGTTAATCAACTTTTCGTTAACGAGAACATTTCGTACGACATTTCCAGGCGTTTATGCGAGCTAATTGCAGGTATATGAGAGCAGTGGTCATAGCTGCATAAGCCAGTTTCAAAGTGAACTCGATGATTACACTGCTGCAAAGTGAAATTAGTAGTCTGAATAGGCAATATACTGTTAAAAGTTAAAGCAAAGTGTTAGACTTATGGTAAATATCATGCGAAAGAAATTTTACGTTACAACAGATTTGCTTTATGGCAAATTTAGTGACTTCTACAGCAGAGAACGTAAATACAACGAGAAGGTTCAATCAGAGAACGTAAATACAATGAGACGGTTAAGAGAACGTAAATACCTCAAGAAGGTTCCGAGAACGTAAATACCTCGAGAAGGTTCCGAGAACGTAAATATAACGAGAAGGTCCAGGGCGTGCCGATTGTCATTTTGTTCCGCTATGCAGTCGACGCCAGATTTCTATGGATGCATTTCACCCCAGACTTCGATGAGCCCTGTTCACCACAATTTAACAGAGAACTAACAGAATTGTGCTCGAAATAGTTGAATGAGTACAATAATGAGAATTTCAATACAGACTAAATGTAAGATGATAAAAACCTATTGAAGATAAATGTAAACATGCATACATGTATTATCAAAAACTTCTGATTTCAATTTCTGTTTAATTGCTTTTATGTCATATGTTCTCTGCGAAAAATTAGGACATTCATCGAAGCTTATTCAGCAAATTCTTTCCAATTCCTTATTCTTTGGAAGAGAGATTTTATTCGGTACAATTCACTGTGTCTGGTTTACGGTAAAGCAATTTCCGATACCGTAAATTGATTAACCTAAAGTACCAACACTGTAACAGATGACCAGAGAACGTAAATATATATTTACGTTCTCTGTATTTACGTTCTCTGCAGCAAAACAAAGAAAACACAAAAAATAAAAGTAATCTACGCTACACAACAACAAATCAACGAAACTGTAAACAAAATGGATGTAGAAAACAGAAAAACGAACCAAACGAACTGAAGACGAATATAATCAGCAGTAAACGGGTCACAAAAAATTATTTCCAATTTGCAAGCTTCACTGACTGGTTGTCTTTTAAAAAATACTTTGCATTAAGTTGATTTTTGTAAAAAGTGTGTTTAATATTGGTGTGTAGAAAAAGAAAGTTGGTTAAATAAGCTTGAAAGTGAGCAGCATCGTAAGCGGAGTCGGAGTGACGAGGCACTTGAAGGGCAACAAACAATAGCCACAATTCCATTAGTACTTGCCCTCAGTGGTTGGGATTTGAAGTAAAATACATAAGTAGGTAAGCGAAGTCGGTTAAATACTAAATCATAACCCTATACATTTCTTTTCATTTACATAGAACAGATAAACGGATAATTAGGATTTTGTTCAAGACTAGTTTTAATTGCGTCATGTGACTGCATCACACTTACATATATATTTATATTCGTCTTTCAGCTTTCAGATAGCTGTATTGCGTATCTATTGTAGTGCCAACATACATATATATTTAATATATAAAATGATATTATGTATGTATGTATTAAGCTCGGCTCGGTGCTCAAATGTCCAAGATAAATTTTTTTGTTTATTTATCACTGAATATGTATAAATATTCATACATTTTCCTATATGTAGTTATGTGCATAAATATGGTTTAGTTTTTTATTTAAACAAACAATATGAAGTAAGTTTGTTTATTTCACATTACTCTCTGCCCACGCAAACAAATTTGCCGCCATAGTGGGATTGTGATTTATTTCACCATAATTGAAAGAATTAATTGACGAAGAACCCAAAGACATTTGAAGAAAAATACATGCCTAATTTAAAAAAGAAGACAGACTTGCTTTGAAAATCAAGCATAATTTATATTTTTTATAGTTTTTTTTTTATTCTCGTCAGTCTTGTTATTGTTTATTTTCACATACCCTAAGCAAAATAAGGTCAACCCCTGAATATTATGCTTCTAATCTAAACACTGATAACGTTGAAATATTAAACGCTTCGTTTTTTTTTCTTTGCTGAAAATTAATTGAAAATAAGAGCAGGCTTTTGTACTCCTCTATCCATATTTGCAATATTATATGAATGTATGTACATACATATTTGTATATGATTGTATGTATGTATATATAGTAAGGTTAAACTTTTATTTTCATAAACCGATGGGTAGAAATCAAATCGCTGTGAGCAATGAGAGTAAAGAAAATTGAGCCCTATGCATGTGCAATGACTAATTCAATCCCTATCTGCGTGTTTCGATTTAACGTGGTAATATTTTTAAATAATCAATAGAATATAAATAATTTTTTGGTGAAATAATTGTGACTTTTACAATAACTATTGTGTTTGATGCAGATATAAAATCGGTAATACTTCATATACTATTGCCTTACCGCGTTAAAATCAACTAAACAATAATTTTCCACGAAACAATTAACGTTTTTTAATTACAAAGAATTGCTATATATATATATGCATATAAAATTATATTGCATTTAAACACACGATATTTTCTCTCAGTGCTTCTTGTATGGCTGTAAATAAGTTAATTATATGTAAAATTTATATTACTCTCTTCTCTCGTTTAAAAATACATATACTCTGTTTACCTGTTTTTATTTGGCCACTCTATTTACGTGACAAAATTTCCTGATAATCAGCTGTAGGTATATGATACGTATCAACAAAGTTATGTATGCATGTAGTTAAAAGCAAATAAACTAATTTATTCGTTGGCATTGACTTTGGCAAATTATATACATATTCTCTATGATGAGCATAAATAAATTTATTAAAAATATGCATGTATGTACATATGTATGTATTTTAAATCTAAAAGTTGTTGAATACAATAACTAAATAATTGCAAATATTAAAAATACACCTATTTTTCCAGATATAACACCAAAATGCGTGCAGTTGTAATTTTTGTGGCGTTGTTTGCCTATGCCAACGCCGTGTCGTTCAGTGATCTCGTGAAGGAAGAATGGTTCGCCTACAAGGTATGTTTTTTTTTTTAAATTAAATGGTTTTATATTTTTAATATGCGCTCAGCATTACAGTACTTACATTCAAATACATGTTAGCAGAAAATGTGTTTGCTATGAATCCTAAGATATGGAAATAGTTTATCTTCAGCAAGTAGAAAGTTTGCTTTAAATAAATTTATTTTTCACTAATTTGGGGTTTTTATGTATAATAAAAGTTTTTAAAGTTATTTAATTTTTACATACCAATAATTAAAAATGCGTTGAATTCCGTTCATTGATCGTCGTTATAAAAATTATGGTTTTATTCTATTGAAGAGATATTTACATATGTATGTATGCATTTAAAAATGGTTATTTAGCTTTTTAAATCTTATTTCTATATTCTACGGGAGTTCTTTGCATCACATACATATGTAATTTATTATATGCACAATTTGTTAATACTCGCACTTCTTTTGGTCTGTCACAAAATATGTTGACATTTCCTGAAAATGTGTAGTGCTAAATATTATTGCTTACACAAAGTAATATAACAAAGCAAGTGGGGTTATTAACAGCAATGATTCATTTTGCATTCAACACAGTGTGGCTGTTTTTTTTTTTACCTACAATTGCACATTTTTACAGCATGTGCTGCAAATGCAGTAAAAAGTGCAAATTTCAAAATTTTGTAAATGCGATTTGCACGTGAATGCTTCATTTACAAATACGTGCAATTGGTCATGTTATCACCGATGCCTACGTTTTGGAATGTGGACACTTAAATATTATATATATATTGATATATTGTAAATTGGCAGATTTTTATTATCTTTACGCAACAAAAGAGTGAGTAACCAACTCTCAAAGCACACTTCTTTTGCTTTATATGCTTTTGTTAATAAAATATCGCAACTAAACTTTATGCATAACTGCCTGAAAGTAATATTATGAACATTTCACAAGAAAATGCATTTCAACCGCTTTGGAGTGATAAACAGTTTCTTCTTAAATATATTTTTTTTAATCGCCTATGCAGGCGGTATGTGCTTTGTTCTTTGATGTTATGTACATATAAATGTATTCGAGAATAAATTAATCATACATAGTATGTATGTAAATATATGTATATATGTATAATACATATGTATGCGCATTCATATACATATATTTTTTTTTTTTTTTTTTTTTTTTTTGTTGATAAATGTTTTTTCTTAAGCAGAGCGCATTAAGCATCTTGTTGCGGCGTAGTTTAAATGCAACAACACGCGCCAAAGAGATCACATGGTCGCAGCAGACTGATATGATAGGTTCAAACGTCCCAACTGCAATCATGCATGCAATTCATTTTAATCAGCTTACGTTTTTTAACGCTGTCAATTATTTATATGTAAATTTTAATCCACATTATTACAACGAGAAAGAGACTCCCTTCATTATCAACAATAGTGGCTGTATTAAGGTTTAAAGACACATATTATGAGGTTGTGTTAACTACAAATTTTCAATTTCTACACAAGATTTGCGCTTATTGCAAATAAATAAGTAATACATACATTTTAGCTGCATTCACATATTTATTTTGGCTACACTTTTTATATGTTGATATATAAAAATGCTTTTACTTTAAAAATATGGCGATTAAATTCGAAATTTTCATTGTTATTTTATTTTAGTTTTTCCCTTGCCACTCGATTTATAATGCGTAGTAGCCTTTAGTCTTCGAATTGGGTCAGCCAATTAATAGTCATTACATTTATGTACAACAACTACGAAAACAAAAATAATATTTATATTATTCTAATCTATATTTTATTGAAGTATTGTATGTAAATACTTATGTGCGTACAAACATATTTGATTAGAAGTCATTCACTTTTATGTGTCAACGCTTAATTGTCTTATCAGTGTTAAGAGTATTATGATTATAGTGCAAATAAGAACGATTTGCAAGTTGTATGAAGTTCGAAGGTTAGCAAATTTATCTACTATATGTTTGTAGATATTTCATGCATGTATGAAATTATAGTACATTTAAATTATATTATTATGGAAATTATTAGTAAAAATTACGTTTGTTAATGTAAATTCCATTTGCCTCCACTTTAAAATTTTTTATTGGTTTACTATGCAAAAAAAAGCTTAAAATATACCAAAAAATTTGCTTAAACACACATAAATCAACTAAAAAATGAGATTTAAAAGTTGTGTATGTATGTGTGTATTGTTTATCGAGCGTTAAATTTTTAGTTTTGTCACACGAAGTTCAACAAAAGTAACTCACCACGCCACTGGGTTCTAGCTGTGCTTAATACTAATAATATCCAAAACCATGGCATACTTTTAGGCTCATGAGTAAGTAACATGCAGTAAGTAAATGTTACTCCTGTACACACATGCATACATATGTACTATGTGGATTATTTATTTTTTACAATAATGCATAGTTGCATTACTCAACACTGCAGTGATAAGCACACATTGGTTCCATGTCTGGCAGTGATAAGATGCGAAGTCAATTAAGTGCTAATGCAATTACAGACTTTTATTTTATTATCTCTTTATTTATATTTTATTATTTTATACATAAGCAGCTATATATATAAGTAAAATATTGCGCATACAGGTCAATCACCGCTCTCTAAAACTGGATTGAATACTATTGCTTACTGTTATTCGTAGTCTATCAAGCGCAGAATTAGCAAAAATAATTGCACAAAGAAATGCAAAAATATTTTTTTTTTTTTTTTTTTTTTTTTTTTTTTTTTTGTGATTAGAGTGATAGTTCACTTTTTGTTTTCGCTACGTAAAGCATCATTTCCCGTACTTTTCGGGATACTCATCACTTCAGCGGCAATTTCGTCATTCCCTATATGAATTTTGTCTGCCATTGTACAATTACGGTGTCTCCCTTTGTCTTACTTGTATTCTGCACAAACAAACACACAAAAACAAAAACTTGATTTGTAGTCTACAGATCACAATGTCCGAAATGGCCTGTAAAGCTAAACGAATGAACAAATAAAATTGATGCTATTAAGCTGAGTTATTTGAAGTGTTTTTATGGAAGAAGAGTGAGGATGGTTTGTCACAATGTCATATACATACATATGTACATATGTATTTATGCTGAGCATAAACGTAAAGCAGAAACTTTTTATAATAAAAAAGTCAATATTTTGATGCGCTGAAATGATATGAAATCAAGTGCTATAGTAAGCTTTCAAAGCTCTTTCAAATTTTTACTTAATGTACCACAAAATCAATTAATTAAGTTTTATTTCATTACCGAGTAATTGTTTACATTCCTATCTCTATTTAATAAATTAAACCAACCTATATTTAATTTATTTAAAGTTTGATTTTTGAATGGGATTAAAAGTATTCTCCAAAAAACCATAGACGGACTTGAAAGTGTAATAAATTCATTGAAGGAGAGAAAATTAGTTCACTTTTGTTTTTTTTTCTATTTTTTTCATTTAGATACATATATTTAAATTCAATCATTTTCTAATTATTTTTTATTCTTTCCCGCATTAGTTCTTTAACGAAGTTTTTGCATCTTATACATATATATTCCTTTTAAACTTGAACAGTAAAGAAACTTCCTCTTTACTTCGATTTTAAACTCGTTCGCAAGTTGCGACCGGAATCCAATTTTGTAGTTCAATTGCAATTTTGTTTACTTGAAAAATTAGCTTAAGCTTGCACATACACACATGTACATAATTATACACATATCATATCTACATACATACATATATTGGCATGCATTTCGCCACGCCTTCCAATCAGTAACATAAATTCTAAACCTGTTAAACAACTGAAAACTGCAATGTATGTACATATGTATGTACATATGCTGGGCAGGAAATCGCTTCAGCCGGTTGTACATACACTACATATATAAATATGTTTATTTGCATGTGGTATGTTTATACATATATACATACGAACATTTAAAAATGCGTCTGGATTGCAAACTCGGGTCACTCATTTTTGCCAAAAGTCAAAATAATAAAATTTAAAAAAAAAAAATCAAGCTTAGTATTTGAGAAAAAAAGTGAAAAGCAGACGACAAGCATGATTTTTTAGTGTAAAGCAAAATAACTAATAAAAATAATGTACAAAGAATACATAAATTTGTATGTTTATGTGGGCATGATGATTTGGAGAGTGTGCTATCGTTAGCATTATAACAAAGAGTCAAGGTGGAATAGCAACAAAAAACACAATTTATTAATAAAAGAGCAAAATAACTGAATAAGTATGTATGTATGTACATATGTTTATATGTATATAGGAAAAAGTAAAAAAAAAAATTTTGCATATGTACGTAGGAACGTCAAATGGCATATTCATCTACAGCGATGTGCTAAACAAGGGCAGACTTATGTTTTTTTGAAAATAATTTAACAAAAAGTGTGGTAGAAAAATACACTATTAAACATTATATAGTTCCGTATACATACATATGTATGTATGTTTGTTAATATATTGATAAAAATTTATACATTTTTTGTTTTAAAATATATATATATATATATTTTTAAGATATGAATTGCTCCAATGTGAAAATTATAATAGATCAAAAAATGAAAGTAACATTAAAACAATTTCAAACAAATTCAAACCCACTAGGCAATCTTTGTTGCCGGCTATACGAAAACGATTCGTCCTTGGCAACAAATTTATTGCCGCTTATATTGCCATAAGTCGTTCTAAAATGTCCGCAATGAAGGCAACTCTCTTAGTCTAGAGTCGTTTTCTTATGCCTTTTCTTAAAAATGTAAAAGTAGTACATATGTATGTATTTTAAATAAAAAAAAAATATATGAAAACAGCTTCTATTTTCAAGTTTGAATTGTGCCAAATAAGCGGTGCTGAATGATTTAAAAGCTTAAGAACGCTATATTTTATTACATATAATCGCTAAATTGATTTTCGGTCAAGCTCCTTCTCCAATTTGTGTTGCATGTATGGCTTGTTGATTTTACCTAACAAATTGTAAGGTCTGAAGTTTATACTTAACC